TTTGTAGTCGTGTCTATACAGGGTGTCGCAAAAGTCGGGGAGTAGCCGGAAATGGGGGGTAGCTGAGACGATTCTGAACAACAATTTCCTTTGCAAAAATGTCGGATGGGGCTTCGTTAAGGAGATATTAAGAGAAAACCCCGACCAATCAGAGCGCGCGTAGACCGTCGGAGCGGCCGCGGTAGCGAAGGCTACGCGCTAGGCGGCAGCGTCAATGTCCTTCGATGCACGTCGAGTCACTTGTTCGCGTACAAGCGCGGCCGCCTAGCGCGTAGCCTTCGCTACCGCGGCCGCTCCAACGGTCTACGCGCGCTCTGATTGGTCGGGGTTTTCGCTTAATATCTCCGTAACGAAGCCCCATCCGACATTTTTGCAAAGGAAATTGTTGTTCAGAATCGTCTTAGCTACCCCCCATTTCCGGCTACTCCCCGACTATTGGGACACCCTGTATAAATAGACAATCTAATATCGTAGATATTCGTTGCAACAGCAATGGAGCAAAATGAATCGTGCACGATTCAGTAATGTAACATAAAACATAAAAATATTGTGCACGTATTACTTATTGATAAAGCGAAAGAAACTTTTCGGACAACCTAATAAAATTGTCGGTCCCTCTTGTTTAATTCCTGGCTACGCCATTGGCGCAGACTGATATTGATATTCGGTCTCGAGGATAGCGCACTGGAAGATCGCTTTGCAATCACCTTGGCAGACCTTGTCTGGGTTTTCTGGAACGATAAACGACCTCTGAGCATATCGATTCCAAAGTTTTGAAATCATTTTGTTCGCCACGCGTCGATTAATCGTCTTTTCTTTTTTTTTTTTTTTCCTTAGACGTGCTGCAAACGGCCATTATAGCAATAGAACGTTATGCGAATTCGATGAAAACAAGAATGACGTAGCGATTCTTTCTCTCTCTCTCTCTCTCTCTCTCTCTCTCTCTCTCTCTCTCTCCTTTTTTTTGATCACGCGAAGAATTTTGTGACTCGCTATAAAATAGACGATAAAAATTGATAGTTAGACGGATAAAATATTTTCAATAGCAATTTGTAATTTAGTATTCTTCGGTTTACCTCTGAATTAAACGTTCATTTATTTTTTCGACACGATTTCCATTGGCACGTTTCGCTCGATGTCGAATAGATTTTCTTTCTTTTCGAAATTACGTAAGGTGTCAAGATTCCCCGAGGCCATAGATAACCGGCATATGTCAGTCTTATAAATATTGCATTAATTTCATTAGCGCTACTTCCTTTTTCGCTGTAAAGCTCGAGCTTAATTTTATAAGGCAAGGTCAGCAATTTGCAATTTTATCTGACCTACGCTTGATTCAAGAACAATTGGTTGCTATTTTTTATTATCAATTCTTCTTACTATCTATCATTCGTTATGTTCTTCCATATATTCGAGGACACGAGTAAACGTTTTATGCTCCTGTCATTATAACTTGTAATTATTTGGTATTTATTGCAATCTGTTACAAAAAATGGTAATAATCAGTATCACTGTATTCATTATACAAATTATGTAGAAATGTTAATCGTGAAATGATTGTAACAGATGAAATTAATATCGAACAATACCAATGTTCTAAAGATACAAAGTATCGTTCCTTCGTTTAAATGTTAATGCGTTATTGTATTATTACGTGAATCGTTATCAGTGCGGAATAAGTGGACAAAATTCAATATTAATATATATATCACAATGTGTGGCACATTTCTATCAGTAGAAAATGCGTGCCAGCGTGGAAATTGTTATAAATAATCATGTATCAATCATCTGTATCCATAATACAATCTTTATCTTTAAATAAACGTACAGATAAAACGGTAAGAAATATCCAGAGTTCTCAACGCAATTGGATACATTATTTGTCATATTTTGAGAAACCTACAAGTTTTCTTGCAAATACTTGCAACGTTCGGTTTCGCATCATTTTCAATTAGGGACCGTACTGTTGGCGTAGGGTCGCAATTAGAAGTTAAACATTCCGATTTAATTGATTTATGGATTTCTATAAAAATGATTTCTCGCATCCTCGGTCAAAACGTAGCATACTTTGTTAAATAACATATGGGTGCAACTTCTATTATTTATGAGAAAAAAAATTCCTGAAGAATTCGAAATATAGGCTACTAAAGCGACAATTTTACAATATTACATCATTTTCCTGTATGATAATCATAAACTCGTACATACCGTTGGATTCAGAATAAAAACAACGCTTTTACTGATCCAAAAATAAATCAAAATTTTCCAAAATTTCCAGGTGGGGAGGGGGTAGTTTAAAAAAAAAATTGTTTTTTTTTTTTTTTTTTTTAAATTTGTTTGTATCGATTTATAGGCCTCTAAAAACAGTGTAATGTTTGCTTGAAAATTTCTTTGAAATCTCTAATCGTTTCCGAGCAAAAGTAAAAGGGACGGCTCGGATAAAAGGGTTAATTTCTCCCTGAAAACGCAAAATTCGCACGTACCGAGAATGGTGTAATTCATAAGAAGGTCCCCCAAACAAGTATACAAAGTTTCATCAAAATCGGGGTTTGTTAATTTTTTGTTAAATTTGTTAATTTCGTTGTGAATTTATTAATGTTTATGGTTAATTTTAGTGTGCGTGCGTGCGTGCGTGCGTGCGTGCGAGAGAGAGAGAGAGAGAGAGAGAGAGAGAGAGAGAGAGAGAGAGAGAATAAATAGATTAGTAATGAAATTTTGATTTTTCTCGACAATTTTCCTATTTGTCCGCACTGTGCGGCAGTGTATAATCGTACCTGTACACCGACATAGACTCGTTCCGATTCTGGGACATCCCCGTGCGAACGCGAACGTCCCGATCGGCGTCGGTTTAAAAATAAAACGAAACGTCGATTAAAATTAGATTTCGCTGGAAATTCTCGCGTCTTATCGACTGAAATACGCTTGACAATGCGATTTCGCGGGAGAGCCACGGCCGCGGATGACTTCGCAAGATCCGTGGAAACAAACGAGAAAGAAAGAAAATATAAAGAAGGAGACCGGGGCCAGTGTTTCGCATCGATAAATCGAGCGAGTCGTGTCTCCTGAGCCGAGGAACTGGCCGGGGGATAAGAAAGAAAAGCGCCGAACTCGAACGTTTCGTAACGAAATCGTGGCAGTTTATCGATTCGCACGGGCGGAAAACGGGAATCAATTAGAGCAGAAACACCATAATCGAAGCGGGGAGTTAGCAGTACGAATTATCACACCTTCGTTTTTTTTTTCCCCGTCATCGACGGAGCCATTCCCATTTACGTCTCTACGGGTCGCGATCAATTATGTTACACCCGTTATAATTAGTGGACTACTTTATTCCTCGTGCTAAAATTGCCGCGAGGTTGCGACTCGTGTGCACGATCGGCTCGTTTCGAACGACTATCTCCAGCAATCTATCTCAATGTATGTAAATCTATCCAAGTCTTTACTAGTCTTTACTAGTTTACTAGTCGTACTTTTTTCTTTTTATTTTTAATTATTTCTTCAATTATTTTTAGCACTTCGTTCCTTTTAAATTTTCCTAATTCTATTTTATCGTTCGGAGTTCTGCTCGGATCCATATACATATAGAAGAAATCAGAGAAGTCTCGTGCTTGCGAGAAAGGTTACCGATCGATTGCCCTCTAGCGGCGACCATCCATACTTATTCTCTTTATTTCTATCATTTTCGTCGTTTTCTTTCCTTTAACACTTTACCGACTGCTAATCTCTATCGTCGGTAATCTCTTACCCTCTCTATCGTCTTTTTACCATGGACAAAAACGATATTTGTACAATCTATTCCCCGATGTAAATGTTAATCTAAAAACGATTCGAGTAAATAAAATAATTGCTCTTTTCCATGGGCAAGTAATACTTTCTTATCTATTCCTGAGATAAATATCAATCTGAAAACGAGTACTAGTAGATAGAGATCAATATACCGTATTTTACGGGCTATACGACGCTATAAGACGCTATAAGACGCACTATTTTATCTCCGAAAAATTGCCTCCAAAATTCAGGTGCATCTTCTACATTAAATTCATATAAAAATGACCAGTGTTTGATTTAAAATTCCCGCCAGTCTAAAAAATGCCCATACAGAGGCAACCTAACCATAAAAATGTTATTTTCTTTTTTTAAATTGCTTAAAAATTAAGGTGCGTCTTATAGCCCGTAAAATACAGTGATACATTACTCGAGTCACAAAAACAACAACAAAAACTATCAAATATTATTGCATCTCCGTTTCCAAACGCTACCAGTCGGTAAAGTGGTAAGTGTTATCTACGTTATCGGCTCGCAAGTGTCCCCACTTTCCACGAAAACCTTGATTTATCTTTTTTTCGTCGCGACACTTTCTGTTAATGGACTTTGGCTGATCCGTCGGATATTCGAAAGTACGTCGAACGAAAGTTCGATCGAAAGTCCGTCCGAAGGCATTCGAATAGAAAGTCCCGTTAACAGTATTATTTCGATAACCGAGTCCCGATGAAAGTCCTCGTGGCGTTTGTTGTTTTTCTTTTTTCTTCTCGAGGCCAACCGAAACACCGTTTCTCGAAACGATCGAGCTATCGATTCTGGGACTCGTTCCTTCTATCGTATAACGAAGCGTTTAATAATTGCGCTCGCAAGATAAAAACCCGGTTACAGATTCTCTTTGAACTCTGTTCTCGACTACCGATGACCCTGTTATAATTATTGTGTCATTAATATTTATTTATTCTAATTGATCGATAGAACCTGCGTTCTTTTATCAGCTGTTCTCTTTTTTTTTTCACCGACGAGGAATTATCTCTCGATACACATTGCCACCGCTAGGTGGCGGTTGTCAACTTTTCTTTCTCATCGTGGAGTTTGATACTTCTGATAGATTCTTCTCAAAGAGTTTGTCCAAAAAACAATGGTAGACACCACCCGATGACCGGTAGGGAATGTTTCTACGATTAAGAAATAAAAATAACGTGGAATTATAAGTAATTACACGTAATTTTCCTCGGTTGCAGTAAACCTGGAAGACAGTGGAGGTCAGAGGGTAGACATGACGCACTTCGACTTGCTGAAAGTCCTTGGAACCGGAGGTACGTGAACGAAATTCTTTTGTGGAAGTCGTTAAATCCGTGACGAAATGATTCTCGAGTAATATTTATTACACAAGGTGTTCCTTAGTAATCGGCATTTTTCTTGCAAAGCTGTGACGCAAGCGACAAACGTAAGAGGAGAAAGTTTCGACATTTAAACATTTTTTTTTTCTTTTTTTTTTGTCAATACAACTTTACAGTCGAAAATATATTTCTACCGAAGGGATATACTTTCATTAATTCCATTACATTGTAATACACACGTACAGTATATGATATAATTTTCTTTTTCAAAATCAATGTTCAATATTTAAGATAAACAATTTTTATTCAGATTGCTTTGTACTTACATACATACAACATACATATTATATAAATTACATAAATATAATATTATTATAATGCCACATCACAAGTTACAATGTAATTTTCTTTTTTGGAATGGATCGAATTAATTTTCCAACTCGAAATCGATTACAAACAGAATTGTTCGATTAATAAAAATTGCTTGAGCGTTCTCGCGATAAATATTATTTGTAGAGAGAGGAAAAACTTTTTTGCAGCTTACGGAAAGGTGTTCCTGGTGCGAAAGAGAACAGGCACCGACGCTGGCCGTCTTTACGCCATGAAAGTCCTGAAGAAAGCGTCCATCGTCCAAAAGAAGAAGACGACGGAGCACACGAAGACGGAGAGACAAGTTCTGGAGGCCGTTCGGGACAGTCCTTTTTTAGTTACGTTGCATTACGCCTTTCAGACGGACGCGAAGCTCCATTTGATTTTAGGTAAGTTTTAGGTTAGTTCCCGATTTCTTTTACAATTACAAGCGGGTTGAAACACGTTGAATACTTCTCCTTTCAATTCTTATTATAATTCTTACAATTCTTTTCTCTCTCTAACTCGTCTTTCCCAAAATATCCCTCTTATAAGTTTGTTCAATTAATATTAGTAAACTAAAACAGTTATCTCGAGATCCTTATTTATGGAAAAAAAACCCTAGGGAATTTCGATGATGTAAATATGACAAACACAAAGCATTATTTTTACTAGTCTTCTATAAAGGCTTTTCCCTCTGTATCTTTCAGTTGGTATAAGAGAATTATCGAGATACCAACTTGAAGAAAATCCCTTGGGTTTCTTTGCCCGTGTAAGATAATAAAAACATAGTATCCAACGTTTGATGCAGCCCAGTGCAATAATGTAGGTAAACGTGAACCAGCGACGGGAAAAACCCTAGGCTTCGAATAAATCTGAAGTTTGTTGATATGTTTGTCTCGTTTCCTCTTTCGAACATTTTTCCAAAAAAGAAAACGAAACTAACGCATCGACAAACTTTAGATTTATTTGAACCCTAGGGTTTTGCCCATCTCTGACGTGAACATTGTTGCGTCATTCTAGGAACTTTTTGTTTTTCTAGTACGCCATCGGTGATTTCCAGCGGCGATGGGCAAAACCCTGGGCTTCGAATAAATTTCCCTAGGTCTCGTTTTCTCTCTCGAATATTTCTCCAAAGAAGGAAACGAGACAAACGCATCGGCAAACTTCAGATTTATTCGAAGCCTAGGGTTTTGTCCATCTCCGATTTCCAGGCGTGCCAACATGCCTAGAAGAATATCAGTCGAATAACGTTCGACTCGGAGCTTAGCTCTGGAATTGACTAAACAACGTGACTGTTTGCGTTTGTAGATTATGTCAGCGGCGGGGAGCTGTTTACGCATTTGTATCAACGGGAACACTTCACCGAGGACGAAGTTCGAATTTATATCGGAGAAGTTATTTTGGCGCTAGAGCATCTGCACAAAGTAATTCTTATTCTTCTTTCTTTCCATCGAAATTTATTCCATCGTTTTATTTACCATCACGTCACCACATGTCGATATCGTTTAATTTATTTACGCGCTCGCTGTAGTCTAATTTATTATTCGCGACCCGCACTGCTCGTCGCTAGGGGATTACCCGTTATTATTATTGGCTTTGTTAGATCACCTCGATACAGAAATTTTGTCACTAGTTTGAAATATTGGGTATTCGATGGATCTTTGACATTAAAATTTTGATAGAGCATTTTGTCCATAAACACTACAAATTTTTTAACAAGCCTGCGTAGCATCCTTGCTTTCATCGAAGCGATATTGTAAAATGTAGAGAATTTTCTCATTATTTATCTCCATGTTCAAGACGTTATTACTGTGAAATCAAGAAAGAATAGTATATAAACTGTATCCGTAGTATAAACTGTAAACGCCACAAACTTTTTCGAATACTCATTATTAGAGACATAGAAACAATTCATTCGAATTGTAACAATGGGAGCGGATTATTTTCTCAAATTGTTTTCAAATGTGATCCCCTAATTACCTCGAGCAATCTGGGTTGATGAACTTTTTGCAAACATATCGCCATCATAAATTCGAGAGGATTTGTTTCTTTATTCTCTGTTTGCATACACAGAGTGTTTAACTCGATTGCCGAGTCGAATATCGTATTCATTAATTTTTTAATGAAGAATTACAAATTTTTTAATTTAACTGCAAACGCTTTTATCTAGGAGAACGTCCACTATTTTTCTCAATCTACATTTTCATTACCATATTGTCGTGGCCATTAAAACGTCAAGATACGCTTTAATGTCTCGACCTTCGGATAGTCACGACTAATGGGAAGATTGCAGTAGTTTCAAAAACAAAATTATCAATTTTTCATTTTCCTCGTACCACCAGACCACCAACCAACCCCTTATTTTCTCGCACCCAGTATTAATGACGCTCACGAAATTTTCTGTTGCAGCTCGGGATTATTTACAGGGACATTAAATTAGAAAACATTCTGTTGGACAGAGAAGGGCATATCGTGTTAACAGATTTCGGGCTGAGTAAAGAGTTCCTACCGCACGAACGGGACAGCAACGCTCGTGCTTACTCCTTTTGCGGAACTATCGAGTACATGGCACCGGAAGTGGTACGAGGGGGCTCCGCGGGCCACGATATTGTGAGTCAGGATGAATTTACGTCACGATTTGTTCCCTTCTGTTCTTGGAACCTGGTTATCGCGCTCGTGCTTGTCACTGTCAAATACTATGTTTATCGTTTCGTCGCGGTCCGTCCCATCCGATCGATCATCCGAGCTTTCGGAGCACGCTTGTCCTCGTTCGTCACGGGATCAATCGCGCCCCAAAACTCGATCGATTCTTTTTATTTTCTCATTGTACAAAAATATAATTATTCCGTTATTGGCCCCATCAATATCAATCTATGTAGGACAGTACAGTTCCTCTGGCACACTCATGAAATTTAATTCTTTCAGGTAGTTGTTTCGTGGATCTATTTAATGGAGGACTTCATCCATAAACCTTATGGAATTTTGTAAATTTAAATCAAAACGCAATTCAGGAAATTGCTGGAACGTTTGATACGTTACAAAGATCGAAATTATAAATTATTTAAAAAAGAAATAACAATTATCGACCGTCCCAATTTGATAAAATACGATATCAAAAGTTTGTGATTTTCATACAGGCCCTTATGGAACACACAAATTGTCACGTGAATATTTTCAATTTAAATGAAAATCCAATTTCGGAACTCGCTGTAAATCTCACATGTTATATACACCGAAATTAAACACAATTTAAAAAAGAATTAAGACCGTGCCGTTTTCGAGATATATTGGGTTGTCTGAAAAGTTGATGCCGATTTTTAGTAGGTGGTACAGGTCTGAATATATCGGAATGGTTGTAAACAAATAATATGTGTGCATCCCTTAAAAAGTGCAACGGTTGCGAAACAATATGATACATACGTAATTCGATAAATATATATTAAAAACAAATTCAAAGGCACATGTGAATTTTAATACTGTATTTACCGGGAGCCTACTTTTAGGCTTTTTAATTGCAGTGTTTAGCTATTCGTATTTATTTACTGTGTTGATAGTTGTCTACTTACAATGTTTAGTGTATAATTCACAAAGACGTAGGCTAATGAATTCCTTACTTAGTATGGACCTTCAACTATCCCTTAACACTTTATTTACCGGGAGCCTATTTATAGGCTTTTTAATTGCAGTATTTAGCTATTGGAAACAGACTTGACTTTCAATGTACCCAGTAACAGTATGGAGGAATTATTGTCAGCCTAGATTGCCATATGCTACTGTAGAAAATTCTTTTTTGAATGAAAGTCTGTTTCTACATAGCCCGGTAGATGAAGTGTTAAAAATTAGCGCGAACTTTCTGGACAACCTAATAATTAATTAAAATCTGGAATTGAACCGATATTACGAATGCGAATCAGTAAGTTCCTCTGTTGAACGTGACCGTCTCGAAACGACTACTTTAAAAGATTCCCAACCCGTCGAGTCGCACCTGGAAGAACGCGGCCCAAGGACGCGAGGCGTCAGAGATCCCCGAGAATCGTTTCATGGAAACCCGTAAAATTTTCAGGCGGTGGACTGGTGGAGCGTGGGCGTGCTGACGTACGAGTTGCTGACCGGCGCGTCTCCTTTTACGGTCGAGGGAGAGAAGAACACCCAGCAGGACATCTCGCGAAGAATACTGAAAACGGACCCGCCGATCCCCAGCCACCTGAGCCCCACCGTTCGGGACTTCATCCTGCGGCTCCTGGTGAAGGACCCTCGCCAGAGGCTGGGCGGCGGCCCGGACGACGCCCGAGAGCTGAAGGATCACCCGTTCTTCAGGAAGGCACCGGCTCCGTTCAGCTGGCCAACCCTGGAGAGACGAGAGATCCCCCCGCCCTTCGTTCCTCGCATCACCCACGAGCTGGACACCAGCAACTTCTCCGACGAGTTCACGAAAATGATAGCCGCGGACAGTCCGGCGGTTGTTCCTCCCAACTACGACAAGATCTTCCGAGGGTATTCGTACGTGGCGCCATCCGTTCTCTTCTGTGACAACGTGGTCAGCAAGGACATCTTCAAGGAAGCTACCAAAGCCAGCACGGAGTCCCAGCGACCGTCCGCATCGGACGTGCTGGCCGCGAGATTTGACGAGTCCACCTTCTTTCAGACCTACGAGCTGGACCCGCGCGAGGAAGCCCTCGGCGATGGTAGCTTCTCCGTCTGTCGCAAGTGCAGACACAGGAAAACGCAGCAGGAGTACGCCGTGAAGATCGTCAGTCGCAGGATCGACTGCGGACGGGAGGCCACTCTGTTGAGAACCTGCCAAGGTCATCCGAACGTGGTAAAGCTGATCGAGGTCCACCAGGACAGGGCGCACACGTACCTGGTGATGGAGCTGTTGTCAGGCGGCGAGTTGCTGCGCAGGCCGCGACCCTTCACCGAGCAACAGGCCAGCAGAATTATGCGCCATTTGGCGTCAGCCGTGCGGTTCATGCACTCGCGCGGCGTGGTGCACAGAGACCTCAAGCCGGAGAACATAGTGTTCACCAACGACGGCGAGGACTCCTCGGTGAAGATCGTGGACTTTGGATTCGCCAGGGTGAAACGTAACTGCGAGCCTCTGCACACGCCCTGCTTCACGCTGCCGTACGCGGCGCCCGAAGTGGTGGCCAGGCAGGGTTACGACCAGAGCTGCGACCTCTGGAGCCTCGGGGCTATCCTCTACTCCATGCTCTCGGGGAAACCCCTGTTCAGAACCGGCTCCCCGGACCTGGCCACCAGGATCAGAGCAGGGGAGATCGACTTCGACGGCGAGGCGTGGAGCCACGTGTCCAGCCTCGCCAAGCAGGTCGCCAAGGGTCTGCTGACCGTCGACCCTACCAAAAGACTGACAGCGAGCGGGCTAGCCAATCACGCGTGGCTAGCCGAATCCAGTACTTCCATTGACGTAATCACGTTGGACGTCAACACGACGGCCAGCTTCCTGGAGAAGCCGGAGGGCTTCAGGCTGCGCGAGGTGGACGGCGCGCGGCTGGCTCAGAGGAGGAAGCTCCACAAACGTTCCACTTCCAGTTCCGTGTCGTCCTCCGCGTCCACCGCGTCCTCCAGTCCCTCCGTGTTGCTCCTACGACCGCCTAGCGCAGCGACGAACCCCGCCACCTCCGCCTCGCCGGCCCAGCCAAGCGCCTTCGACTTCGGCGAGGACAAGGTGAACGAATACCTCAGCTCCCTGTCGTCCTCCTCGGACTCGAACTCGCCGAGGATCATGCAGGAGACCCCTAAAAAGCGGCGCAAGCGCGACGAAGACGACACCGACTCCCAAACCAAGCGTCACAAGAGAAACCTGGACAGCGGTGTTCACAAGAGTAGAACGGGACCTGTGACCAGGGCCAGGAAGCGGAAACTGGAGGAGCAAACCGGGAATAGCGAGGATGGCTCGACAGAGTCGAGCGGCACGTCGTGTAGCGACTCCAGGGACCTTCACCGAAAACAGAAGGCTGGAAAGCGGCCCAAACGACTCGCCACTATCATCGTGGAGTAGATCATGTTCTTTTTGTTGCCTCTACGAATCGGTTCGACAGGCTCGCACCTCTCCTCGTGTCTCCAGAGATGGGCAAAATTCTTGTTTGCGTAGGAATTTCGAGTTAAGAAGGATAAACATCTTTGTATACGTTTAAGTATGAGGCTGTTCGAATGATTGGTAAACAAGTAAATCAAAGAGCCAAGGCAACCGATGATGGCACGTGTGCTCAAATCTTCGCGTACGTTGACCACGTTCTATCACGTATTCAACGTGTATTCGAGGTATTCGTTGTAGAACGAATGATAACTTAGAACGGCTTATTCGAACTGTTATATCGAATGAAATTTTGCCCATCTCTGCTTCTATGCATTTCACGTGATGCTGCAACGTTGCTGCCTTCGAAGCTCGCGTGCGAGCTAATCATTGCGTCATTCCTATTTACAGAACCGCGACCAGGGACTTCCCTTTTGGAACTTCGTTAGGTTAAATTTCGATTCGGCTAAACTTACTTACGTTTCACTAACATTTCTTTTGATTTTTAGAAATCACGATCCTCTAACGGATTATTTTGGGATAAAGCAACGGACGAAGGTCGGCAATTATTTAGACAATGAAAAATAGTATTCAGTTCGCGACGGGTTCCTTGGACTACGCTGTTCCTTATCGCAATCTTTAAATTATTGTAGATACGTTTAATTTTATGCCATGCTTAGGGTTACGTATTATCGGTCGGAGCTGTGGAAAATAGTATTTCAAGTAGAAAATAAGGACTGTGCTGCTTCCTTAACCTTTAGAAAATAATTTCTATTCCTACGTCGCGTGAATGGTTTAAATGTATACAACTATTCCCAGTTGAAGATGTTAAGTGTCGACTAAATTAAGGTGTCTTAATGTGTCTTGTTCAAGTGCCACGTTCATTTAAGTGTCTTGTTGATGGTGCAAGAAAGTCGATGTGGAATTAAGCGACTTTTTTCCATTTGCTAATTTCATTTTAGAGTAATATACATTTGCTATCTCGAATCATTCGCGATAACGCCTCATCGAGAATTAAATCGGCCCTCGAGCGTCATCTACAGCCAATCTAAGCTAACGATTTCTAGCAAAGATTCGAATCCACTCGAATTTCTTCGCATCGTCGCCTGTAAGATTCACTCTAGACCTCGGTAGCTTCGGTATCGATCGATAAACCGAGTCTCGATCGACGCGAAAAAGCGAAACGCTTTCGCGAACGATATTATTCTGGCAATCAAGATGGCCACCCAGGCATCTCTCTACTATTTTCTATCGCGAGTACTATGTTCGCCCAGCTCTCCCACGTCGATATTAAACATATTTACATGTCGTATTTAAAGCGCGATTTGCAGTGATCGTATACAACCCCGTGTAAACTTCAAATTAATCATCGTCAAGATTCTATCAGCGGGTGTACACGATTACCGCGGTTCACGCTTTAACTATAATATACATGTACGCATGTACACGCACGTATACACGTACACGCGCTACGTTCTAACGAACGTAAACGTTGTTTGTTAACGGGAGAAACACCGACGTTATTATCGCGGTCCGATCATTTGGCGCCCGATTTGTACAGAACCCTTTACACCGCGAACCACGGGAGGAGATCGCTACCTGGTCGCGATCTCGAACGCGTCAGAGCCTCCATTATGCGTTGTATTTCTTTGTCACGTTGTCTGTGATCAACCTGTAAACGTTGAAGCGTTTCACCGTTCCCCCTACACACACACACACACACACACACACACACACACACACACACACACA